TCCCAAACACTTGAACCTACCAAAAATCATCCATGCTTTCTCTGGAGAACCAAGCAAAGAATCAAAGACTATTTTCTATCAGTCTTCTCACCCTTCCCATGGCTCCTCAAATATACAAGTACAGATTAAGTTTTAAAAGAACAGGAACATGGATGTATAAACACATACTGTAAATATGTAAACATACATGAACACATAGTCAATATTAACTCACTGTTTACCTTTTCTCTTAATTTATGTCATCATTTTATGACTATGCAGTATATTGTTATAAGATGGATTACACACCAGATTCCTTATTAGGGGGTTTTCCTTAATGTTTTACTATGAGAAACAATTTTCTGATTACTCCCATTAAATTACATCTTTAAAATTGTTTGTTTCTTTTTCAGAAGTATTATTGCTGGATAAAGATATATACTTTGTAAAAAGTATCTTCACAAATACTATTGAACTGCCCCCAAGAAATGTTACATCAATTATGAGTATCCATTTTCCTACACCCTTTTTTATTGTCTCACAATTAGGTAATTGAAACAAACTATCTTTGCAGGGCTTGGGAAAGCAAGTGAAGTTGAACCACCACTCACAAAGAAATGCATTTCCTTTGTACATTTTAAAGCCCTGTAGTGTTCATTTTTTCTTGTTTAGTTGTAAGAATTCTATACAAAAGACTTTTAGTCTTGCAGTGTATTGCTAGTGAGTTGATACCTAAGATTTTAAAAAATGGAATACAATGCTTGGTACTGATAGTTCATGCCTGTAATCCTAGCTATTCAGTAGGCTGAGATCTAAGGATTGAGATTCAAAGCTAGCCCAGGCAGAAAAATCTGTGCAACTTTTGTCTCTAGTTAACCAGTAAAAAGTTATAAGTCCAGATATGACTCAAGTGGTAGCCTTGAGCAAAAGAAAAAGATAAGTGAGAGTAGGAGGTTATGAGTTCAAACCCTGGTATTGAATGCAAAAAATAGAATGAAGCAAGTTTTTTTTTTTACTAATAACATTAAAAATAGGAAAATTTAAAAGTAAAAGAATAGGCAAATCAAATGAAACAAAACAAGGATACAAAAGAGTGGAGTTCTTTTAAGAGAAAGGAAACTTAAGAGAACTTGGAAAGTTAAAGAAATTAAGGTGAAAGAAAAATAAAAAGCAAATCAAAGAAAAATTCTAGAATAACATTTACTTTCTAACATATAACAGAATCTGTCCTTAAGAGAATAAGAAAAGTAAACCTGGGGTGTGAGGAGGAAAATATGACTTTTCTTGTAAGATCTTTAATCAAGTTTTCTGTAGAGATCTGCAGAGCAGATCAAAATAGGAAATAATATCCAAATCTTTTGCAGTACTCTATACGCATGTTCAGACCATTAGCAAATCCTCCTGAGGAGGCCAAATCCACTTAAAACTACACTTAAGAGGAGCAGATAAAAAGAAAGGTAAGAAAAGAATAATAAAACGCAGGAAGAAGTTGTGAAGCAAGTTGGTTAATCTGATATTTTAATCATATTATCTCTTTCTCTTGTCCACTATTCAAGAAGCTATTAGAGGCACAGTCTCTAAAATGTGGCTCTTATTGAGGCAGTTATAAATAAGAGGTAGATTTATCCCACCTTCTCCAGATTTCACAAAGGGAAGATTGAACATAGAATTGTGAGGAGGTTTATATGCTAATGAGTCACCGTCTGTTTTCCTTAATATCCTTATCCATAAAATGGAGATAGTTTAACAAACATTGGAAGCTTTTTTTTTCCAAAAAGATGCTGCATACAAAAAGAAAAAAATCAGCAAAAGTGCCTAACACTTTAAAACTGTAGTTGAAGAATGTAGTGGGCAGGAAAGATAATATAGATTTTGAACTTGGAAGCCAAAGCTGATTCACTTCTGTTTCTTGAACATTAGATTTGCTGAGGAGGAAGAGCAGTGCTCTTGCCAAAATCATTAAGGAGAATGATTCTGAGTATGCCTTAAAGCAGAACTTTTAGTAAACAGGAATTACCTATAAAGAAAATCAGGAAGCCGAAGTGTTTCTTTTTATGAAGTTACATCCTGCCATAGAAAAGCTGGATAGGAAATAAAGGCTGATGTACTCCCAACTGCATACTTAAACCTGCTATTATATCACAAGGAAAATCTGAGTAAAAGCTCAGACTCCAGGAAGGAGAAAAAGAGGAAGGGAGAGGAGGAAGGGAGAAACAGAAGGAAGGAGGGAAGAGTAGAGAGAGAGAGAAGAAGGGACGACAGAGGGAGGAAGGAAGAGAACAAAAGTGAGATATTTTAATGTAAAAAAAAAAATCAAAGACAACCGATGGCTACAATTAAACTTGGTTGAGGGGAAGATGTACAAAGATGTACAAAGAACTCTGTGAGTTGGGGTTCTTTAGTTGCTTGTCTCTTTCATTTCAGCAGTAATTCCTCCAGATGTTCTCATGAAAGCAGAAGAATGATAAAATGATACTATCCCTCCCACCCCCTTTTTTGTCACTAGTGTGTTTCTAGGGATACTTTCGCATGCCCAGGTTTAGGTGATGGAGATTCTACTTTGCTCTTCACTTTTCTAAGTTTAACCACTGGATATTTTGCAACCACTATCTAAACACTTCTGCATTTATCTCCCACATCCAAATGCAAAAGACTAGATAGACCTTTCTCTGGGCAGGTTACCTGGGTTTTGGCGGAATGGCAGGTGTCAATCTCTAGCAGAAAAGCTCAAACTGCAGTTCTTTACTCTCCCTGCCTTTTCCCCACCTTGTCCATCTATTTCACAACTACAGTCCTTAACCCTACACACACACACACACACACACACACACACACACACACACACACACACCTCCTCCTCCTCCTCCAACCTCGAATCCTTTCGCACACCCTGCAAGGCACGCATGCCAGGATGCCCGCTGCCACAGTAACGCTCAACCCACGCGGAGGCCCCGCCCATGGATCACGCCCCCGTCCCAGACACCAATGGTTATGGCCGGCAGCTCCCAACTGGCTCTTTGATAGGGCAAGATGACCTGCCACTCTTCGGGCGCGCCCCGCCCTTTCTTCACTCCCCTCAGGAGCTGGAGGGGCCGGAGCATCAGCGAGAGTAGCTGTGAGCAGCCGCGGCGGCGGCGGCGCGTCGTTGCAGTTGCGCCATCTGTCAGGAGCGGAGCCGGCAGGAGGGGGCTGCTGCGGGAGAGGAGGAGGGGTCGCCGCCAGCCGAAGGCCGCCGAGACCCGCCCGCCCGCCGGCCGGCCGGGCGGCCTAAG